AGATATTTGGGGGCATTTAAGATACAAACTATAGCAAGCTGATAAAAAATGTGATTTTTTTTTTTTTTTTTTTTTTTTTAATGGAGGAAGAGAAAGAAGGGTAGGAGAGTGGTTTGGGGGAGAAGGCAACTTAATAACAACCAATAAATAGTTCTCAATATCAGAAAAAAACTGACTGGCAATGATTGCATGCTGTAGAAGAAAATGGGAAAGAAAAACTTCCAAAATTGGATATTAATATTAATTCTAATCATATGTGCAAAAAGCTTTTACTTTCTGCCTAATTATTATGCAAAATAATAAAAATGCATATCATAAAAGAGGTCAACTAATTTTGTTTCACTTAATGTCACTACAAACTTTCCATCGACTCCTGCCTCTGAGTCTCATTCATTGTCATGTGCAAATTTTAGCAGTAATTCCTTTTAAAACTTAAAAACATTTCCAAGATACCACATTATCATACTAAAAGAAAAATTAGCAATTTAATACTCCCAGCTCTCTGATTATCCATCCTGCAATTACAGTTATTTCTTCTAGTTTTTTCCAGGTTCAAACTATTTCACACCTAGTTTCTATAATAATTTCCCCAGAACATTTTATCATTTCCCACTGATGAAGCACAAATGAGTTCACAACATGCAGCACCAAAATCAAAACTCGCAAGGCAAGGTGGTGCATGCCTGTAATCCCAGCCACTCCAGAGACTAAAGCAGGTGGATTCCAAGTTCAAAGCCAGGCTCAGCAAGTTTTCAAGGCCCTAAGCAACTTAGTGAGACCCATCTCAAAATAAAAAGGGTTAGGTGTGGAGATCAGTGGTAAAACAACCCTGGCTCAATCCCAGTACCCCATTAAAAAAAAAAAAAAATCTAAACTTTTAAATGACTCAGTGAGGTGGTGCTCAAATTAATTCACAACAAAAGAAATGGACCTAGAGATCAAAGGTCAAACAATTTGGTGACACAAGGGACACAGAAACACAGATCTTCTCATATATTCCTGGCAAAATAGTGCATCTACAAAGGTAAATGTGGTAATATCTATCAAAATTATAAAAGCAAGTACCTTTGATCCAAAATCCTACTGCTAGGAATTGTCTAAGTCTGCCTCACCACTATGTGTGAAATAACATACACCAAATTATTACTTGCTGTATTATTATAACAGAAAAAAACTGAACAGTAAAATTGTAATAATAGCAAACACTATCCAACACTTAGTTTCATGCCAGACACTGTCCTCAGCACTTCGCACATTTCTTCATTTAATCCTCTCACCGACCCTATAAAGTGGAGCTAGTAATATCCCCATTGTACAGATGGGAAAAAAGAGGCCAAGTTAAAATAATATGAAGTCAAAATGCTAGTCTGGAGCCAGAAATTGAACCCAAGTAGTCAAATTCCAAAGTCTTTTTCCCATTACAATTTACTGAACCACCTAAATATACATCAATAAGGCAGTGATTTCTTAACATAAATGAAAATCCAACAGAGCGCAGTAGCACACGCCTATAAAACCAGCTACTTAGAAAGGTGAAGCAAGGATCACAAGTTCAAAGCCAACCTGGTCAATTTAGGGAGAACCTGTCTCAAACATACATAAATAAATAAATAAATAAATAGGGCTGGAGATGTTGCTCAGTGATAAAAGAGTGCTCCTGGTGCAAACCCCAGTACTGCAAAAAGAAAGAAAAAATATCATTTGTGTAAAAAAGATGGGGAAGCACATTTCTACATGGGGTATTTCTGAAGAACACATATTTTTTTTTAAATTTTTTTTATAATTTTTTAATATTTATTTTTTAGTTTTCGGCGGACACAACATCTTTGTTTGTATGTGGTGCTGAGGATCGAACCCGGGCCGCACGCACGCCAGGCGAGCGCGCTACCACTTGAGCCACATCCCCAGCCCCTGAAGAACACATATTAAACCTGATGATACAAGTCAACTTCATGGAGGAGAAAACCAAATAGCTAAAGAACAGGAATAAAAGGAAGCTCTTTAGGCCTAGTGGGGCATGGTGGCCCAAGTCTATAGAACCAGCTACTTAGGAGGTGGAAGCAGAACAATCATATTGAAGACCAGCCTGGCCAACTTTAGAAGATTCTGTCTCAAAATAAGACAAAAAGGGCTGAGGATGTTGCTCAAGGATAACACACCCTTAGGTTCAATCCCCAGTAATACTACCAAAAAAAAAAAAAAAAGGGAAGCCATTCTAATGTGTCACCTTGTACCTTTAAACATATGAATCTGTTACCTATACAAAAACAACCACCTTTTAAAATGGAAAGGATAGTGAGGACCTGAAATAAGACAAAGACAGTAGAAACAATGTAAGAAATTAGTTAGAAAAACAAAGATTTTTTAAAAATCCAATTTCCTGCATCTATCCTTTAAAGCTGACCCTCTTCCTCACTCTCTGCACCAACTTCTCTTTAACGCAATACAGACATTTTATTCTAGCTGAACCAATCTGCCTGCCAATCCCAACAAATCAGCTTTTTCCTCAAATCCACAATTCTCTCTGCAAAATCTAGCTCTAAACTTAAAAGCCACCCACCTATTGTGCTAGTTAGCATCTTGTATGTTTATCTATACCAGGGATAGCAAACACCAGCACTCATGCAATCACGACTCCTACCCATGACAATAAGCACTGCTCAGTGATCACAGTACCCTTTTTCCACTAAATCCAGATGCTGCCTCTAACTCTCCTCAGTGCAGTGTTCCAGGAAGCCACTATTACAGACACAGCTGGCCCATGAATAAAACCTTTGACCAAATTGTCTTGATAGATTTCATGCATATTTATTTACATATATTCCATTTTGTTCTGAAAAGGATTGAAGATATAGCAATACATGAATGTAAGAAAAATTAATAAATTATAAGAATAAAGTGAAAAATCAAAAAGGGTGCTAAGGAAAAGGCTAACACATGCACAGCATGAAACCTATCTACTCATTCAGGAGTGGGGGGCAAATCTAGCTTTGGCAGCTAGAAGCCTTCACAAAAGGAAAGCCCAGTCCACAGACCAAGTGATAAACAGAAGAAAACTCACAAGGAGAGTTATTATTCTTGGTGCTTAGACCATACAGCAATTTTTATAAAGCAGAGAGAGCTCTATAGAATGACCAAGACATAAAGACACATAGCCAAAAGGCTAGGCTGTTTCTGATAGCATCCCTCAGGAGAGCCCTTTGGCACATTACCAAAGCTCAATTCAACAAAATTGATTTTACAAAGAACAGGCACAAGTTTTCACAGTCCTCTGTGCTTTTACTTGGTTTCCTCCTTCATTGCCTCCCTAATTAGATTACAAACACTTTGAAGACAAGAATCATCTCTTCTAATTCTTACATATAGTTCCAAGGTGTTTTGCATTCTACAAAACAAGCATTCAGTGTCAGCAAGAATTTGCATAGTGCAATTCCAACCTACTCCAATAAAAGCTCCATAACCTAAACATGGTGATTCCCACATTCCTACTAAATAAGTAGGCTGAAATGAAGCCTCGATGGATAGACTTCTAAACCTTCTTTGTGATTACCAAATAAAAATCTCATTTGTGATATCCTATCTGCGTTTTTAGTTTTGCATATACCAAGCACAAAGCTTGCAGAAGTACCAAATCAATATCACTGAATCTGATCCAATAAACTGAAACTCATAAGCAAAAGCTTTAGCAAGCCCTATTAAAGGAAAGACAATATTACTATCTTTCAAGAATATAATCAATAACTCTTTTACAAACCAGCTGACAAAGGCATGTTCTTTGGTTCATTTTCTACATGACTCTGCAAGAACTGTAGAAGACAATGAATTATAACGCAGATTTTCTCTACTTCTTTCCAAGAATCTGCAGTTTCTGCAAACATCAAACTGCCAGAGAAAGGTACTTTCCAGCTCTACACACACACACACACACACACACACACACACACCACTATCAGACAAGCTTATATTTCCTTGTATGACTATCACCTACCCCCTCTTCTTTACCTTGTCATACTGGAAATGCAATGAGGACTAAGTAATAAATTATTGAGGTAAAGGGATATGAGCAACATAAGTATAAAAACTTAAAATTACCACTCTTAACCATAGGCATTAAGGCACATTAACAATCCTGTATTTAATATTCATGGAAACCATTAATAAATAAGCAGTTTCGCCTTACCCTGGCTTGGCTGAATATGCACTTAGTATTTCAGTTTACAGTACACTCCTCATTTGGTATTCCCAGTACACAGGAACAGTCCCTTTCATCCCCAGGAAGGGACAGTAGTAATGAATGAAAGAACTTGGCCAAGCCTGCAAAGAGTTAGTTCTCTTACCCTTTTGTTACAAATAAGGAAAGAGGGATCTGAGCAGTTAGGTGATTCATCCAAGCTCCGTGGCTCATAAGTACAGTACAGACCCAGGATTTAGCCTAATGTTCTAGCAGCCTTATAACAGCAGACCACAGCGGCTCATGTTTGTCCCGTTTGGGAACTCACCACATGAAAACAGTGTTTGACTATTTGAAAACCTATTAAATACCAAACACTATACTAATCTCTTTTCCTCATAACTACCCTATAAAGTAGGTGTTGTTATCCCATTTTACGGAGAAATTAACCTGTCCAAAGTCACAAGGCTAGCAAATTATAATGTAAAATAATCCCAAAGAGCGCAAGAGATCTAGGGAGGTGGCCAGTGGTGGAGCATGAGGCCCTAGGTTCAATCCCCAGCACCACAAAAACAAAACAAAATTAAAAGACCGCCAGTATTTGGAAATCACTGTCTACCAAAAAATTAAATCTAATATAGTGGGAATGTGTCTGCCTATTTGCTGGCACATTCCTAGCTCCACCATTCAATTTCCTTAAATTTGTTCCTATTAGGCCAAAATGTAAATATAAAACCACAATAACTTGCATTCATATAGCATGATATAGTTTATGCTAGAATTTTTTCATTTTTAGAAGATGTAAATACTGAGCGTTTTCATACATTACCTCATATCTCATCTAATACTTTGAAGACTCTTGTGAAGTAGGAACTAATGCTTTGCAGGTGAGAAAACAGAACTTTGCAGAGGATAAAGTAACCTGCTTAAGGTTATACAACTAGTAAAAAGATGCACTGGACTTTATCCTGGCCTACGTGAAAAGCCCATATACTGTTACCTACACTGAGTCATTTAATCATTTACTTCCGTCAACTGACTCAAAATGAAACAGAAAAACAAGTGCCTGCCGAAACCTAATAGAACAATAAAAACTGGAAAAATTAGAAAGGTCATCTCAGATAGTTTCCCTCCCCCACAGTTGTCAGGTGATTTCTAATAAACATTGACAGGGCAGACATTTCAAACTATTCCATAACACAGAAAAAAGCAGAAAGTGTAAATGGGAAAAGGAACTGAACAGATACTTCACAGAAGAAGAAACACAAATGGTCAAAAAATACATGAAAAAATGTTCAATATCACTAGCAATCAGAGAAATGCAAATTAAAACTACACTGAGATTGCATCTCACTCCAGTCAGAATGACAATCATCAAGAATACAAATACAGGGAGGAGGTTAGCAAGGATGGTGGAATGTGATGAACATCATTTACCATGTATGAAGACACGAATTGGTGTGAACATACTTTATATACAACCAGAGATATGAAAAATTGTGCTGTATATGTGTAATAAGAATTGTAATGCATTCTGCTGTCATTTATTTTTTAAAAATCAATTTAAAATTTTTTTAAAAAAAGAATACAAATACAAGTAACAACCGGGTGTAGCACACACCTGTAATCCCAGATGCTCAGGAGGCTGAAGAAGGAGAATCTCAAGTTCAAAGCCAGCAACAGCAGAGGCGCTAAGCAACTCAGTGACACCCTGTCTCTACTGAGTGCCCCTGAGTTCAATCCCTGGAACCCAACCCGTGCCCTGCCAACCGCAAAAAAAAAAAAAAATACAAGAACAAGAAATGTTGGTGAGGATGGAGGGGAAAAGGTAAGCTCATAAATGCTGGGTGGGACTGCAAACTGGTGCAATCACTCTGGAAAGCAGTATAGAGATTCCCTGGCAAACTTGGAATGGAAACACCAATTGACCCAGTTATCCTACTCCGCTGCAAATACCCAAAGGACTTAAAATGAGCATACTATAGTTATATGGCCACATCAATGTTCATAGCAGTTCAATTCACAATAGCTAAGCTACAGAACCAACCTTCAACAGATGAATGGACAAAGAAAATGTGGTACATATACATAAAAGACTAATACTCAGGCATAAAGAAGAATTAAATTATGGCATTTGACAGTGAATGGATGGAACTGGAGATTTTCAAGTAATATGCAGATGCCAACTCACAATGGGTGGTGAGAGGTTTCCGGATTGATTAAACAAGGGGAAATGGGGGGAAGGGAGGGAGAATGGGAATGGGAAAGAATAGAATTAATTGGACATACCTTTCCTATATTCCTATATGAATACACAACCAGCATAACTCCACATTATGTACAATCACAAAAATGGAAAGTTATACTCCATATATGTATGATATGTCAACATACACTCTACTGTTATGTATAACTAAAAAGTTGAAATGAAAAAAAAAATAAACTGATTACAAAAAGGGGGGGAGTACCCCATTCATCCATAAGGGCTGGCTTATTCTTGACACTAAAACCAGGCAAGGATAACCAACTTAATAGCAAACATAAATGTGTTTATCCTGTGTAAATACAGATGCAAAAGTATCAACACACTGTAGTCAAAAATGAAGGGCTACATATGGTATAATCCCATGTGTAAAAGAAAAACCATTCTGAATACACAAATTGCAGGATATGAAATGTGCATTTGTATGTACATATGACCTTGATATGAAATGTGTATGTGTACATAATCATGCACATGCACAAAGTCAAAAATACAGGTTTGGAAATATAAATCACTAACTGTAGATATAGTTGTTATTTAAGACAAAGTGGTCTTAGTGGTGAAGAAAGAAAAGAAACAGGAAGCAAAGGGAGATCTCCAGTTTTTATGTACCCATAAATTACTTAAATTTTTGTATTTAACATGTATTGTTTCACAATTAAAATTATATAAATTAAAAGCAAATTCTAAATATACTTTTCCTTTATCTCCTTAACTTATGATAGCAAAAACTAATTATTTTACTCACTATCTGCTTATTCATTCCTTAAACACTTAGGGTACAACTTCTGTGCAAGGGTACTGAGCTAGGTATCTGGAAAACAAATGTGTGACAGTTATCAGGTAATTAGAATCTCTCATAACGATTACTTCCTTCCGTAAGATATAATATTGAGTTTTAACTCAAATTCTAATTTTTATCACTTTAATCTTTTAGATCATTCCATCTCTAGAATTCTAGATTTTCTGAAATTTATAATGCTTTTCTTCTAAAAAAATTTTTTTTAAGTAGCAGATAATTTTTCCATTTTTTTAATTAAAAAAATGCATCTGTAGTAATTCAATTCAATTCAATGCTGGACAGTGGTATGCCAAGATGAATAACTAACACATGGCTCTACCTAGTTTCTAAAGAGCTAATAATTCTGCATACATGTCTGATGTAGAGTTGTATATAAAAACTGAAATAAGTACCTATCAGCCTGTACTTCAGAGTCAAACTGGCAAATCGCCCTCTTCAAAAATAAAAGTTAATTTCAGTTTAACCCCCCAAAATCTTAATGTTTATACAAAAGGTAATGCCTACTTTACCATTAGAGGAAATCAATTAATGGGAAAATAAAGACCATGGAAGTTGCAGAGGAATGGAATTTCAGTGAAAAGAAATGGGTTCTATTCTCAGCTACATCACTAGAAAGCTCTTACCAAGTTAGTCACTTTGGATCTGTTTCCACCCTATGGCATTCACATCGACCTTATTAGGACAGAAGAAAACAAATATTTGAAAAAAGCATAACAAAAATCTGGTGAATATGGGGCAGTGTGGCCATAGCACCTACTTCTTTTTCATTTGATTTAATTTTTTATTTATTTTCCCCCCATTCTGTCACTGATTAGCCAACGATTTCACAAACACAATGTAACTTCTGTATCCCTTATCAAGTGAAAAGAATGCAGGAAGTAGAGTGAGAAGTTTATAGTCAGACCTTCTTACTAGTTATAAGCTTAAAAAACAAGCTACTGAATTTCTTTGCACTTTCTTTTCTTAGCAGCAGATCAGATAATACCTTATAGGGTTATTGATAAGATTAAATGAGAAAATACATGTGTAAAACATAAACTTAGAAACCATTACAAATATTTCCCCCAAAGCAAATGTACAACAAAACATGAAAAGATACAATACAAAAGAAAAACCACAATGAGACACCACTTAACAGCCACTGGGATGGCAGCCATCAAAAAGTCTAACACTAACAAGTATTGGCAAGAAGTAGAGAAAACAGAACCCTCCTACACTGGTGGTGAGAATGTAAGATATACGGCAGCTATGGAAAACAGTTTAGCAGTCTCAAAAAGTTAAATAGAATCAACATCTAAAACTCAGCAGTTCCTCAGTGAGATACATAGACATGAAAACATATGTCTACACAAAAACATTTATAAATAAGAGTTCACAGAAGCATTCTTTGTAATAGCCCAAAAGTGGGAATAATATAAATGTCCATTAACTGATGAACAGATAAACAAAATGTGGCACAGTCACAAAATGGAATATAATTCTCCATTAAAATCAATAATATGGGTGAAACCTGAAAACATGTCAAGTGAAAGACACAGTGGGCCACACATTGCGTGATTCCATTTATATGAAATTCCAGAATTGGCAAATCCACAAAGACAAAAACTACATAAATGTTTGCCAGGTTCAAGAGAGGGCTGAGAAATGGCAGTGACAGGTCCAGGATAAGGGTTTCCTTTTAGGGTGATAAAGGTTTCCTTTTTTTTAATACCTTTGTTTTATTTATTTATTTTATGTGGTACTGAGGATCAAACCCAGTGCTCATGCATGCAAGACAAGCGCTCAACCACTGAGCCACAACCCCAGATCCAAATGTTCTTGAATTAGTGTGATGTTTATATGATCTTGTGAACACAATAAAAGTACTGAAATATACAATGAATTCTATGGGGCTAGGGTTGTGGCTCAGTGGTAGAGCACTTGCCCCAACACCACATGTAAAATAAATGAATAAAATAAAAGTCCACCAACAAATAAAAAAAATGAATTCTATGACATATAAAATATATTTCAAAAAACTACTACAGAAATTCAAGTTTCTGCTACTTTTTATTAGTTTAAGTATCCTGCTTTTCTCAAGAGGTTGCTCCTGTTGCTTCTAATAGCCATAAAGCTCTTTGAAGTTACATATCAAGCAAATGAATGGTATTTTTAATAAATTACAACTATTATGCCAATAAAACTTTCTACAAATCAGATTAATAAGAAATAATTTCACTTATTCCCCCCAAAGTGTCCTTTATTAATACTGTGTTTAGGGAGTAGAAATAGTTCAAGGAGTCCTAACAAAATACATCTAAAAGATAAAAATTGTGACACTCTGTTTTTTTTCATTAGGGTCTATTTAGTTTCCAGATATATCCTTAGTAAGATTATCTGTTCAAAATGTCATTAAATGCCCATCAATCAGCTCAACTCCCAGTAGATGAAACTTTTCAACATCTATTTACCATTTTCTATGCTCTTCATTCTGCTGCCAGAATTCCAGTCCATTATTAGATCCCCTATCTCTTCCATCAAGTACTCCTCCAATCATTACTCACAGGTGTTAGAATGCTTGTTTTAAATGTAATATATTCTTTTTTTCCCCTTAATGTTAGGGAACTTATTAGAAAAGGCCCAATTTTTTAAGGTTAAATTTAGCCCAGAAGGTTTGAATAAATATTCAGCAAAATAACTTCCTAGAATTTGGGATATAAAAACAATCAACAGAGTTGTGTAATGCTTTCTACCTCCTTTGGGAATTTTTTTCATGTATTTAGTCATGGGGTAAAGACAGTCACCAACTTCTGTCTTCAAAAAGTATTATGCATAAAAGCTTCCTGGTTCTAGAACAAAGAAGTATTTTATTGCTCAAAGCAAAAGGAAGAGATTTTCCTTCTATTTAGTATTGTTGCACCAAAATAGCATACCAATGAAAGGAGCTAGGTATTGGCCTGCCCCAAGGTATGTAAATAAAGATAAATTGTTCTTTATTATGTATTGGGGGGTGGGGGGGAGTCTCAACACTAAGAACATAAGATTTATTGCCAGGTGAGGTGGTTTAACCTGCACCAGTAATACCAGCGACTCTGGAGGCTGAGGCAGGAGGATCACAAGTTGAGGAGACCCTGTATCAAACTACAAAATAAAACGGGCTGGGATGTAGCCCAGTGGTACAGCACTCCCGTTCAATTCCCAGTACCATTAATAATAACACCAACAACATTTATCAAACCATAGAAAACCGTATGGGTTAAGATTTTCAACATGGAGCATACTTTAAGTGGCAATTTTAATTTGAGGAATTGCCAAACTATGCTGGGATGCATGGTAGGTACGCTTGATACAGGAAAAAAACGTGAAGAAAGGGATGACTTATCAAACAACTGCTATCCAGTTGCTCCCTCAACAGCACTCCCAACTTCTCTGGATGATGATGTCTGTGTATGACAGAAAGATGCCAAAGCACCAAGGGAACCACAGGGGCTGTCACGGCAGCAGTAA